TCTCCATGTTTAATACCTTGGGAACCTGCACAAAAGACGATTGAGAAATTTATCAAAAAACGAACTCATGTGAAAGAGCAAAAACTAAATGAGTTTCAAGAAGATCTTCTCCTGCAATTATACTCAAAGCTGATTTATGGAAAGCTAGCTTTGGAAATTAAAACTACTTAACGTGGTCGACTTCTAGTTTTGAAAGTGGTATTTAATTTTCGGATATTTCCCAGCGAAATAAAAGTTTTACTTTTTGCTTCAGTTTTCTCAAATTGGGTCAAATTGATCGAAAAATCTATGTAATTAGTGGCGGATTTTCAAAATTTTCTTTTGTCGACCTTTTTTTGTAGGTCGACCAAATTGATTTTTCGAGTTCTCCCAAAGCATTAAGCATTAAAGAGTCCCTGTTGTGCCCTATTTTCTGCGCCGCAGTCAAAGTTTTGAAAAAATTGGCCAAAAAAGCGTTTTTAAGCACTTAAAAATGATGACCAAAAAAATCGCATTTTTTCGACGCGCGCTCCCCCCTCAAAATTAGTATATATTGGCGCCAAGTGCGCCTTTAGAAAAATTTTTGGGTCCGTCGCCAAAAATGGATATCTCAAAATAGTACCAAGGGGCGACCCTTTGGGTCGGCAGGGGGTCGAATCCCTGAGGGGGGAGGGAGGGATGACATTTTTTGAGAAAATCAATTTATCTGCTTTGATCGGATATTTAGAAATGGGGCCACTCAATCAACAACTTTTAAATCAGAAGCAGTTAAATTATGAGTACTTCTTCTCTATCGCTTACTTTTGAAGGACATTTTGCTGGACAGTTTGGCACTCATCCAGTTGGCATTCATGACGACTTCGGTGTAGGTGAACTTGTCGCCATAACTCAGGAGGGAACTGCTTCGCCGCACCACTCTCGAGTTCACGGGACCTGCAGTATTCGGACTCGTCCATAGTTTGATGTCCTGACAAAGTAATTTTATCAATTGATTAAACCAAAACTTAAAACTGGGTCAAATAGAATCTGGCTCAAATTATGGGTAATTTTTTAAAAAAGTGAACATATAGTATAATTGGTTATGAAGAAAACTGAAGCGACTAATTCATTTTTTTGCCAGTTGTTGAAATCTGTCTACGCTCGGAAGTGTTGAAGCAATTTTTATGGTCAAAAGTATCCTGGACCTGGTCAATTTTTTTTTAAAACTACGAAAAACGGCGTATTTTGATTTCAGTTAATGCAATTTATCAAATATAGAGAAAGGGAAAATTTGATGGCTGCACCTTCATGTAGACAGCGTTGACTGGGTCCGGGGGGTCCCTGTAGGTCTTGAGGTGTTCTGGGTTGTAGTACTGGGGGTCTGCTCTCATCTCGTCGTAGTAGGACTGGAACTCCTTGTGCAGGTTCTCCACCATCCAGTCCGCCGGAGACACCCCGGACACACCTGTCTAACCCAATCACAACAAACAACAACAGAAAACAACAATAAACAACGACAACCAAGACACACAACAATTCAAGTGTTCACAAGCAGCGCATAAAAGTTAATAATAACTTTCTAATCACCCTATTGATCAAAACCCTCTTAAAATTTTGGTATCTCTCTGGACCGAAAATTTAAGTTTAGTCAAACTGTTTTTTTTTCAAGTAAGCGAAATTACGAATTTTGCGGGTGAAATGAAAGTGAAAAAAATAAATTACTGTAAAAAATTGTGATCTTATAGTGCGCATTTAGATCTTATCGGTACATTCACAGCAGGACATTGAATTGACGATGGGAGGGGAAGGCTTAAGAGTTTTTTTTATCAATTTGTGTTCAACCTTTTGTTTTTCTTAAAAAGAAAATGGTAAGAGTTGTGTGGGCCGCAAACTAAAAAAAGATAATTGTTGACTGATTTTGATTCAATTGTCCTGCTTTGAAAAAAATTGGGTGAGCGAGTTTGGTTTGCATGCCTACCTTCATGTGTGCGACTAGACCAAGACATTCAGAGGGCTCCTCCTTGAGAACATTCTTCATGTGGGCCACAACACTCAGAACTCCCAAGTCACTCACGACAGAGTTGAATCCACACGCATTCACCACCCTGGACGAGTGAAGAGGACATTAGATATTGTGGGGTAGTAGTTATATTATTCAGATAAATCATCATCATCCCTGCCCTACGGGAAAAAAAGAAACTTATGCGCCAGGAAAAATGATTGCTCTTTTCTTTTTTTCTTACTTTTCCTTTATTGTTTCACTTTTGAAAAAAAATGAAGTATTTGTACACAGTGTAATGATAAACATATTTTTAGACAAGTTTTAAAAGAAAAAGCCTTGACTGAAAAACATTGATGACCTGAGCTCAAAAGTATTTTAAAATACCAGGCCAACTTATTGATGTAAGTATTGCTGGCATATTCCAGATCTTCAAAAAATTTCACGTTTGATTTCAAAATTTCTATCAATTTTTAAATCGAAATTAATTCAAATTATCTCTAAAATAAAGTTTCCTAAAAACATTTCCGGAGAACTTTGCTTTCAAACTATGACTTGATTGCCTTGTCACGAAGGTATTTGGCGGGTGTAGCACGATATTTAGGAATATGGTTGTTGTGGTAGGTATGTTTTGAAACTTGTGAAGTTGCGTGTATTTTTTTCACTAATGGGCGTCTTTTTTTATTTGTGTTAACAAAATTAGGATAAAACCGTCTGTTGGTTAGAATTGATTAAACTTAAACTAAGACTAGTTTAAGACGGGGTTGGTTAAGATTCCTACAAGTTAGTTGTAGGCTTTTATCTAAGACTAAATAAAAGACTAAGGTATCTAAGCTAAGTTAAGAGATGATAAAAAGGTTGAATTAGTTTCACAAGATCAGTTGCATATCAAAAATTGACAATGAACAAACTCTAAGTCTGCCAAAAGCCGTTGCGCTTTCGGCAGGTATTTTTAAATTAGCATGGTAAAAGGTCATAACTAAATATAAATCACAAGTTATAGAGTCAACATAAAATATCACATTTGACATTTCCCGCGAAAATTTAACTATAACATATACTTTCGCCACACAAAAGGAATGTTCAGACACAGAGATGAATAAGCGGGTATCCTGGTCGGTAAAATCTCCACAATAGGGCCCGATGCGCGAGAAGATAGCACCACAATGGATTGATCGTATGTTTATCCCGCGGTAGCACCCAATGGGTGAGATAAAGATTTAGCACTAAATAATTGTATTGTTAAATGACTCAAGTTAAAATTTAAAGTGGTTCAGAAATAATCCAATCGTAGCGTATTAGGCCAGCACTTAGGGGTAACTTTTCAACTCTAAATACGTTATAATGTTAAGCAAGGTTGCATCAGCAAAAAAATTTACTAAGTTTAAAGAGTTGTTGAATGAGAGATTTCTGAAAGTTTGAGTTTCAATGAAAAGATTACTAATCTTCAAAACATCTAAACTGCGTCCCGATTTGCGGCTCTTTTGATCGTCCATCTCCTTAGTTCATCCAGCGTCATTGGCCGTCGTAAGAGTTCTATCGCCGAAATGATAGAAGGGGTGCTTAGCCAGTCCGGATCGAGTACGATTAGTGAAGATGTTGGTTCAGTTCCTTCGGAGGGTAGGCCCGATGGGTGGAATTGGGTAGTACGAACCTCAGGACTCAATTTAACCTTCTTGCGTGGTGTACTTTGTTTGGATATTACGGAAGACTTTGTACCGCTCGGATGCTCAAGACTTTTTTCCAATAAATAAACTGTGGTCGGATGCGATGACTCAATTTAACCTTCTTGCGTGGTGTACTTTGTTTGGATATTACGGAAGACTTTGTACCGCTCGGATGCTCAAGACTTTTTTCCAATAAATAAACTGTGGTCGGATGCGATGATGAGGGTGGTGTCAAGGTTGTTAAATCTACCACGTCAATTTGGTGGCTCTCCATTTCGATAGAGGTTGCTTCTATCGTTGGGTAAGCTGAGGAAGTGTGAATTCGATTAAGTGTTCGTTCGTCTAGACTCTCGTCTGATATGCCTACTACGCTGTTAAACACTCTCTCACCCAGCATCGTTGGGGGCTGTCTAGCTCGCATGGGTCTAGTGTTATGTCGTGCATAAATATCGGGAAGTTTCTTGGAGGGCGGTGATTTCCCCGGTGATGAAGCTTTTCTCTTAGTTGTGCCGGACAATTTCGCTTTTTCCTTGGTAGGGTTAGAGTCTAGTTGCTGTTTCTCCGTTACTGCCATGATAACCGGCTCGGCACTATTTTCAGTTGGTTCCATTCTAGGATTTTCCGGAGAAATTGGTACTTCTTGGTTTATTTTCTCAGCTTCTTCATGACTGTCCAGGAAGATTAGCTGCGGGGTTATATGTGGGTCTGTACTATTGTCGCCTGAATCAAGATCAATCTGCGGAACCTCAGTCATTTCTACTTTCTATTCAATCTGATTCGTGATTTCGGCTTTAGTATCTCCTCGGTCTAGCGATGAATGTTCTAATGGCTTTTCCGGATCGTATAAGGTTTTGATCTTTAGCTCTTTTTCAATACTTTTTTTACTTTTTTCCATTTTGTGCCTTTTTGGAGTAGTTCTTACTGTTTTCTCGCTTGTGTATGCTAAGTGCAGCTTCGCGTCTGTATAAAACTGATCTATTTTTGCGGTGTTTTTTTGATACCTTCCTGATTTGATTTCACATTTATTGACCTCTGAGCAGGCAAATTACGCTCTATGGTAAAAAAACTGAAGGAGATAAGCACAAAAATATACTCTGACTTCTAGTTTTAAAAGAGGGGTTCGAATTTTTGAAATCCAAAATTACTTATTAATCGAGTTTTCTCAGAGTGGATTAGTTTTATCAGAAAGTGTCATAAATAAAGTTTACTGGTATTGATTGAGCTTAAAGTTAATGTAATTTGTTCTGTTATGTCCAAAAAAGAAAAAAAATGTTTAGAAGACTCAGAAATTAATTTTTTTTTTTTTAGAAACGGCAAACACTAATGGCTGTTTTACTAAACAGCACAAAATATGTGATTTTTTTTCTACTAGATCAATGGCATCGTCTCCCAAAGCCTCTCACTCGCCTAACTCTTCTGGCAATAAGTCCCCAGTGCTGCCTATTCCCTTAGCGCTTCAGAGCAATTACAACAATATGAATGGAGCTGGAAGCAATGGCGTCGGGACCAAGTTGTCCCCATGTCCCAGTCCGGACTACGGTGCAATGGGATACTTGTGGCCTCCTAACTCGCCTAAAGTCATGTACCCGAACACAGGTAAGATAAGGCCTCTTTTTTGGATAAAAATCAGATCTCTTTAACTATTCCCGTTCCCTTCTTTGGTTCCTAGTAAAGAGTAGGCATCATTATAAAAAACTAAAGCAATGTTTAAGCACATGCCGATTCTGTATTTCTTGAACCACCCTTATTTGCAATGGGATGGGGGTAGGGGAGAAACGTAAACGTTTAAGAGATCCAAATAATTGTGCTGCTCGTGTTGACAAAGCATGTTTGGGAATACAATCCTTCGAAATAGTTGCGCAAGGAAACTTCAAGGAACTTTTGTTCCATCAAGTGGCAGCGGAGTTTTTTGGATGTGCCTTAAAACTCAATATCTGTCTTAAAACTCAATTAGCATACTTCTGTAGGATCTGAAAATATGTTACGAAGAATAAACAGTTGCCAAGAAGTAACTACATAGATTTGATGAATAAAGGTTCACCATTAATAGCAAGCAGCCCATTCGACAAGCTACGCATCTGGGCATAAAAAGAAGGGATCATAAACTAAATTTGGCTAAGTATCAACCGCGTCAATTTTTATTATATGTATAAAGGTGACTCAATTTCAGGTGACTTCGATGCTAGTGTGGGCTTGGGAGGAGTTGTGGGTGGAGTAACAGATAGTCAGCAGCAGCAGCCAGAGTACAATCTGCTGAGAGTGTTGATGGAGTCACAGCTGGAATACTACAACTCATTCCGATCCAGAAATCCGGCCAGGTCCCCCTCCCAGCCGCAACACTCGCCCCAACCGGGTCCATCCTCCACCTCATGATGAGTGGCAACAAAGTGAGATCGCGAGGGGACCCCAAAATATGAACGCTGAGAAAGGAAACGAGAGCTGAGAGGTTGAAGTTGACCACAAGGGGAAATAAATGAAATGTTGACAAATAATGACATAAAAAGTAAACTAAGGAAAACTATCCTTCATATGATTATTATTATTACTTACTATTTGTAGTTTTAGCAATAGAAATGATTTCAAGCTCTTTTCCATTCTATTTTCATAAGAGAAGAAGTCTTGAGATCAAAGAGAAGACTTATTTTTGTTACTTCGTTATGTGACAGGAGCGTCAAAGGGCTTTGTGGCTGTGTTTTTCCTCATCGTTTTAGGTATTTTGATTAAAATCAATGAGATTGTCTTGGATAAGAAAATCAAATTTCTACTGTTTTTAAGGGATTTTAGTAGGCAAAAGTGGAAACTGCCTTGAAAACAGTCTCTTTTCTCTCTCAGACCAATTTGACATAGAACCTATATTTTGGTCGATCTGTTCATTAGATTTGATTTCGGCGATCATACAAGATTCTTCGAAAAGAAAGTACTTGAAAACCGATAACTCATTCTTTGAAAAATCTTTAAAATTAATCATTTTCGTTTCCTCGATTTCACGAACACTTATACCTCTGTTCATTGGCTATATTCAGCTTTCTCAGTGAAGCTCAAGTTTATCGGATAAATCAGTTTATCAATTTTTCAACAGATTATCAATTTTTCAAGTGTCAATGAACGAAGTGAAGACCCTTGTTTTATAGATTCAGGTTTCTCGAATTGGATTATGTTTCAAGCAAAATTCAATCAGAATTGATTTCTGAAACCAAAAGCTTCAATGTTTTATGTACTTTTTTAAAAATGTGCTTGCCGCTTTGAAAAATCGGATGTAATTAACTTTTATATAGGTCATGATTATTTTTTTACTATAATTTTCGTTTTTTTTTTCAGGAAAAGTCAGGCGCAACTTCGCGGTTTGACTTTTTGATTTCTTTTGAAGTTCAATTCATTTTGTTAAAAGATAGCAAACTCCACTATCGAATAGCAAAAGTGTGAAGGTAACAAAAAACATGGTCAACTTCCATGTTCCGAAGTGGATTTTGTCAGAATAAACAGCGTGAAAAAACGATCTATTCATCCAGTTTTAAATAAATTGGGTTATTTTATCAAGAGTAATGAATTTAATGGGTACTTTTTAGTTTAAGTTTGTTTTGTTTAAAGGAAAAATTCTGGAAATTTGTTCACGCTCAATTTTGAGTTTTCGCAGTTTGATTTGTGATTACTTTTAAAATTCAGTGCATTCCCATTTTTAAAAGAAAAGTAAAATCCACAAATCGAACAACAAAAGTAAATGTGTCAATTCCCTAACGTTAACAACAATGTATGCAATGCGGAACTTACGGGCACCGGCCTTTTATCTGTGAAACTTTAACCAGAAAATTTGAAAGATGGTTTTTTTTTCACCAGACTCGATCAGCAAATTTGATTTACAGATACAGCGACGCAATTTACTCTGGCTAAAGACAATTTTAATTATTATTAACGGTTTTTCAGCGAAAGCTAATTAAAATTAACACTTCCTTTTCTAGTATCCACCACTTTTCACTCATCTTAATTGTTTTTTTTTTGTATTGTGGTCTGGTAAAAAGTCACTCTGATAAAAATTTGGTCTGGTAAAAGACATATCACGTAGAAATTGCATAAAAGACAGAATTTACCCGTAGAAATAAAAGAACTTGATTTCTATGATAGCTGGCTTTTTTTTCGAAGTTGAACAATCCCAGATTCATCAAAATGGAAATTAATGATCAGATTTCCCACCGGAAAAGAAGTTTTGCCTGCTGATCCAGTTTTCTCAAATTTTGTTACTTTTATTTAAAAAACTACCATTATAAATTGTTATACAAATTCAAAGAGATTTGATTCCATCTATTCTTTACTTGGAAGTTGAAAAGTTGAAGTTTTCAGTTTCTTGGCGCTCATTACGTCTGTTGGCTATGCTTTTTTTGTTTCTTGATAAATTAAAATTTGTTTTGTTATTGGGTTGCTAAAAATGAGTTAAGCAGAATTCAAAAAATTTATAGGCCAACCTCTGCCATCAATCGAGATCGTGCTATTAATTGCTATCACCATGCTTCAGCTAAAAAAAACGTATTAGTTTAAAAAAAAACAATTCTTGTTGAGTCAAAATGAAAAGCAGTTGAAGCCAGTCTCAAAAAAGTAAGCTTTTTAGAGCGCCTCAAACAAGTGTATTAATCAGAGAATGATTTTTTAAAAGAATTTTCTAAAAATAGTTTGCCAGAGCGCCAACCGCAGAGTCTCTTATATCAGTATGCTTATGATTAGCAAGAGATATCGAAAATTTGCTCGGCTCTGCTTGGATGGAGATTTATAGTTTTTTCAAATTTTCAAGTGTACACTTTCTCGGTTTTTTCCTGCAGCTGTGAATAAAGAGTTGAATTTTTTGATCGCAGATAATTGGAAACATTAAAACCCAATACCTTAAAAATTCAGTAGAGTTCAGCTGGTTTGTTCAATTTAACATAGTATTATCCTTAACTACTAACCAAGGTTATCCGACAAGCCTTGAAAAATTTTTAGTTCAGAGGATTTTCATAGGCCCTTGAAAGGTTGTTCATATTGTTTTTATTTGCTCTTTACAAACAAAAAACGTTGAACTGAGCAAACGGACTGACTAAATTTTCAGTTCTTTTGATTTAATTTCTAAAAAGAAAAAAAATTATTTGTTGAGAATCAATATTTCCAACCGTGATTGTCTATTTCCGCAGTATGTAAAATAACTGTGGTAGGTAAATTGCGCTTTCTAATTACAAAGCGCAATCTATTTCTATTTCCGAAAGTGGATTTAATTTTTCTTAGATTTACCAGCGGAACAGAAAAACGTTCCAGATTGTTCCAGATTTCTTAAACCGGGTGAATTGTGTGAAAAAAATGCCAATAATGAATAGTTTTCGAAATTCAAAAAACCTTAACGTGAAGTACTTTTTATACAAAAATGGAAATTTGAAAAAAATTTCAAAAATTTCAAACGTTTTTGTTTGGTTTCCAATTGTTTCAACTTTCTGTGTTTCAACTTTTGACCTGCAGATTTGTCTTTTTTCTTTTTACTCTTAATTTGTTTTTACAAATTCACTTCGCATGAATTTACTTAGTGGAAGGTGAATTACTCTCTGCAATACGGAAACTCCATGTTGCTTCAAGAAATAAATGAATTTAGTTTCGAACGTGAATTTTAAGTTTAAGGTTTTCTAGCGGAATACAAGTTTACGAAATGCAAAAGTGTTGAACAATGAAAGTTTTTGAAGTTCATAGAGCTTCAAGGTCAATTTTTTTTCAATTTAAGGGATTTTGTTTTGGCTTAGAAACATTTTTTGACGCATTTACAGCTGGCTTTTGGCTATGTGTAGAGATGCGTATAGGATAAACATAAAGGAGTCGGTCCCTCCGACCGACCTAGTTCCTCTACCATAAGGCAAATTTAATTTAAGCAGCTTTCTTTAATTTTTCTATAATTGACTGATTGATTGCCTCCATAGACTTTCATTTTTACTAGAATTATTGCCCTATCAAAATTTTGAGTTTACTCATCCCCTCGCACAAAAAAGGGAAAAGTTTGAACCCGACAGACTTATAAGTCTGAGACGCTTGTTTTCCTGTTTTTAGTCCTAGCCATCTAAGAAGCCATGTTTAAAATAATAATAAAACGGTTCCCCTCGCGATCAATTTTTAAGAGTTCTGTTAATAAAAAAAATTTCACAAAAATTGTTTTTTTTTGTTAATTTTTGTTTTGTGAATCAAATTTCGAAGACTGTAGTCGATTTTGATTAACTTACGAACTTACGTTCTAAGCTTTCCTCTTTCCTTAATCACACAAAGCATTGAAAACCTCCAGAGTTCAAAAAAGAATATATATTGTTTTTTATATAGTTTTTTATATAGTTTTTTAAAAGAATTTGGTTGGAGTTTTCTGCGCTGCTGCTACTTTCACAGCAAACGGCGGCACTTGTTTATTTTAGAAATGGTTGATGTTGTTCTCGGTTTTTTTGCATCGTTCTTAATAATTTCTGATAAAGAATAACTTCGGACAAAACTATTTGTAGGCAATTTTTTTTTAACTTGGGAATACTTTTCCTTCTAATTTGTAATTATCTGGTAGATTCAACGACAATCATGGCCGTGATTGTTGAGCCTGTTTTGATCGTGGTTTAAACTACTATAAAAAGTTTTGTCGTTTGTTTTTTTTTGTCTATTTCACGAAGGAAGTGACGTCTCCTCGATATTAAAAGTCACCCCAGCGTACTGTTTAAGTCGTTCTCTGAATGGAAATCCGAGGGCAGTTGCGGGAGTGTGGAATCCATAGGCGTCTTTTCCGTGCAAGGGGAGCGACTCGTGGAATTTGGAGAGCAATATGCCCGCCTCAATTGTCATCCGGGAGGTCAGTTGGTACTCTGGGTCCATACTTCCCTTCACTTCACACACTACTCGCTTCTGAATTGTAAAACAAAATCAACCTTGATCTCATTGGAACTTTTGGGGATCAACGATATTTGAAAAAATATATATCGGTAAATCAGCTGTGATTTCTTGTCTTTTCGGCTTATATTTTCTTATGGAGGGTGAAAATTAGTCTCAGCCTTCTTCAAAACGGAGAACAAAGTCTCAAGGCGTTTTTCTTTGTGGCCATTGTGGCCTTGATAATTTATATCGGAAAAAGTTTTCACCAGTTAGAGTTCTGTTGAAGTAACTTAGAAAAAACAAATTCTTGTCATTAGTTTCTCGGACGAGTCTCGTCGTTACAATTATGTATCTCGAAATAGTAACACCAGAAAACAAATTCAGCAACTCTAAAACGAAAGCCAACAAAACTTTTAGTACAAAAAATTAAATTCGAATTATAATTGCGAGGATCTCAAGAAAAAATTAACTCAAAAGTAATATAAAAACAAGTTTCTGATATCAAAACCCCTGTTCACAAACTTAGCTTAAATATACTAGTTTTTTATAATTGATTTTTGGAGCCAAAATTGATTTAAAAAAGGTATTTTTAAAGAACTAATTCAATGTGATATTAGTTTTTTTTTGAAGTGAGCATGCCAGAAGTTCCACCGGTTGACCTCCAATACCTCCTGTGTCATTTTGTAAACTTCGTATATTTTCTGCCTAGAAATAGTTTCTTTTGATTATTATTATAACCGTTACTTGCTTTTATACAATTTCAAATTTTATAAGAGCTCGTTATGATATTTCCGTATCTGGAAACTGAAAGCATAGCATTTGGATTTTTTGCACATTTAAAAAATCAGTTCTCATGCTGTTTTTTCCAATTATGGACCTTTGTATGGAAATTGCACAGCTAACATATTTGGTCAATCTATATCCCTCTTACCTATAGCGAAAACTGTCTTTACTGAATACCTCGTGGTCGAAAATAAAAACAATAAAAACAATCAAAGAAAATAGGTAGAACAATTTCATGCATCGGATCTTAATGATAAAGTATGAAACAACTGACCATTGGCGTGTGAGGTGATTTTCCGATGATGCGCATCTCAAAAGAGCAGTTCTTGAAGCCAGTTCTCGGATCAACCGGGTCTCCATGTTTAATACCTTGGGAACCTGCACAAAAGACGATTGAGAAATTTATCAAAAAACGAACTCATGTGAAAGAGCAAAAACTAAATGAGTTTCAAGAAGATCTTCTCCTGCAATTATACTCAAAGCTGATTTATGGAAAGCTAGCTATGGAAATTAAAACTACTTAACGTGGTCGACTTCTAGTTTTGAAAGTGGTATTTAATTTTCGGATATTTCCCAGCGAAATAAAAGTTTTACTTTTTGCTTCAGTTTTCTCAAATTGGGTCAAATTGATCGAAAAATCTATGTAATTAGTGGCGGATTTTCAAAATTTTCTTTTGTCGACCTTTTTTTGTAGGTCGACCAAATTGATTTTTCGAGTTCTCCCAAAGCATTAAGCATTAAAGAGTCCCTGTTGTGCCCTATTTTCTGCGCCGCAGTCAAAGTTTTGAAAAAATTGGCCAAAAAAGCGTTTTTAAGCACTTAAAAATGATGACCAAAAAAATCGCATTTTTTCGACGCGCGCTCCCCCCTCAAAATTAGTATATATTGGCGCCAAGTGCGCCTTTAGAAAAATTTTAGGGTCCGTCGCCAAAAATGGATATCTCAAAATAGTACCAAGGGGCGACCCTTTGGGTCGGCAGGGGGTCGAATCCCTGAGGGGGGAGGGAGGGATGACATTTTTTGAGAAAATCAATTTATCTGCTTTGATCGGATATTTAGAAATGGGGCCACTCAATCAACAACTTTTAAATCAGAAGCAGTTAAATTATGAGTACTTCTTCTCTATCGCTTACTTTTGAAGGACATTTTGCTGGACAGTTTGGCACTCATCCAGTTGGCATTCATGACGACTTCGGTGTAGGTGAACTTGTCGCCATAACTCAGGAGGGAACTGCTTCGCCGCACCACTCTCGAGTTCACGGGACCTGCAGTATTCGGACTCGTCCATAGTTTGATGTCCTGACAAAGTAATTTTATCAATTGATTAAACCAAAACTTAAAACTGGGTCAAATAGAATCTGGCTCAAATTATGGGTAATTTTTTAAAAAAGTGAACATATAGTATAATTGGTTATGAAGAAAACTGAAGCGACTAATTCATTTTTTTGCCAGTTGTTGAAATCTGTCTACGCTCGGAAGTGTTGAAGCAATTTTTATGGTCAAAAGTATCCTGGACCTGGTCAATTTTTTTTTAAAACTACGAAAAACGGCGTATTTTGATTTCAGTTAATGCAATTTATCAAATATAGAGAAAGGGAAAATTTGATGGCTGCACCTTCATGTAGACAGCGTTGACTGGGTCCGGGGGGTCCCTGTAGGTCTTGAGGTGTTCTGGGTTGTAGTACTGGGGGTCTGCTCTCATCTCGTCGTAGTAGGACTGGAACTCCTTGTGCAGGTTCTCCACCATCCAGTCCGCCGGAGACACCCCGGACACACCTGTCTAACCCAATCACAACAAACAACAACAGAAAACAACAATAAACAACGACAACCAAGACACACAACAATTCAAGTGTTCACAAGCAGCGCATAAAAGTTAATAATAACTTTCTAATCACCCTATTGATCAAAACCCTCTTAAAATTTTGGTATCTCTCTGGACCGAAAATTTAAGTTTAGTCAAACTGTTTTTTTTCAAGTAAGCGAAATTACGAATTTTGCGGGTGAAATGAAAGTGAAAAAAATAAATTACTGTAAAAAATTGTGATCTTATAGTGCGCATTTAGATCTTATCGGTACATTCACAGCAGGACATTGAATTGACGATGGGAGGGGAAGGCTTAAGAGTTTTTTTTATCAATTTGTGTTCAACCTTTTGTTTTTCTAAAAAAGAAAATGGTAAGAGTTGTGTGGGCCGCAAACTAAAAAAGGATAATTGTTGACTGATTTTGATTCAATTGTCCTGCTTTGAAAAAAATGGGTGAGCGAGTTTGGTTTGCTTGCCTACCTTCATGTGTGCGACTAGACCAAGACATTCAGAGGGCTCCTCCTTGAGAACATTCTTCATGTGGGCCACAACACTCAGCACTCCCAAGTCACTCACGACAGAGTTGAATCCACACGCATTCACCACCCTGGATAAGTGAAGAGAACATTAGTTATTGTGGGGTAGTAGTTATATTATTCAGATAAATCATCATCATCCCTGCCCTACGGGAAAAAAAGAAACTTATGCGCCAGGAAAAATGATTGCTCTTTTCTTTTTTTCTTCTCAGTTTTCCTTTATTGTTTCGACTTTTGAAAAAAAAGGTTGAATATTTGTAAACGGTGTGGTGCGATGACTGTTTCCAGAAAATTTGTTCACTTTTCCTTAAAATGCCTTTTTTGGACATTTTTTAATCTTCTGAAAAATATTGATGACTTGAGCTCAAAATTAAAAAAGTTTTTGCACCTGTGCATCACTTTTAGCAACGTCATGGGAGTTTGAAAACAAACAGTTTTAGTTAATACTCAATATGAGCACATAATTTTATTGCGCCCATAATTATCGGGCAAGCTAATTGATGTAAGTTTTGCGTTACTGGGTGCACAATTTATGCTTTTGAACTGAAAAATTCCAGATTTCCAAAAAAAATCATGTTTTTTTTTCAAAAATTGTCTATCACTTTTTTAATGAAAGTTAGCTCAAAACACCTTAGAAGACAGCCAAAACATACAAAGAAATGTTCTAATTCGATTCGAGAGTTATGTTTTTTTTTTGGTACGAAACGTAAGCAAGACTACTCTTATAAAGAGTAATTATTTCAGTTTGGTTGAAAGTGTTTTCCGACACAATTTTTAGAGTAATTATTATAAATTCCGTGTCTATTAATTACCCTTGCGATAAGCAAGGGTATTGCAATCGGGTACTAGAATTCGTTTCCCCTAAAATTTTTTGGTTACAGGACTTATCTCATCTGGATTTCTGACTCATCTCTAAGGGTTCCTCGTGGAAATCATTTTTTGGCTGGCGCATGTTTTGAATGGTGCTTTTAGTGTTTGATTTACTGGTAATTTCACCTACTTTGACTTTGGATTTCCTTTTTTGCTTTTTCTCTCAAAAACTTTATGCGGCCCAAAATGATTAGGCATTTTTTAAATCAATTTGTTGGCCTTATTTTGGGTCTTTTCAAATATAACAAATTTTTTCGTTTCCCTCCGCACTTTTGATTTGGCTGCATTACCACTCTGTTTGTTGAAACGTTTTTCTTCTTCTTTTGGCTGACTAGAATTCGGCTTGTTTTGTATGGACGTTTTTTCTTTTTTTTTCTGCGTGCCTTTGTGTGTTATGGGGGAAGAGGGACGTAAAAAATCTAACTTTGTCCCAAATTAAAAAAAAACTTTAGGCTTGAAGAGCTTCTGCTCAGATATTTTTGGTTTTGTCACCCTTCGGTGACCAAACCAAAAATTTTGTTTTTTTGCAAGTTTGTCCAAAAAATGCTGATTTTGCATTCTTTTGGGTTTTTCGCAAGTATGTCCATTCAATTTGGTAAATATAGTTGAATCGAAAATAGTGCGAAGTTCAGCTTCGCTTTTGTATAAAAAGTTCAGACCCAAAAAATGGCCTGAAGCCAATTTGGAATAGTTTTAAGCTGGGTTACTTCACCGTTTACGAGCCGACAGAAAAAATAGTTTAATGCCCGTTGATTATCACAAATTGGCCAAATTGACCTTTTTTAAACCCAAGTTATGGCACAACTCTAGGCATAACTCAGAAAGATCTGACTACCATTGATTGTCTTAAATGTTTTTATCAATTGATATTTGAAACATAAGTTTTTTTTTTTTTGCTATTGTAGCTTGCATTGGCATATAATGTTTAGTTTATGACTCATTTAGCTTGATTCCGATCATTTTGCTATTGTTTCAAGTTCGAGAAAGTTCAGAGCACTATTTTGCTTGACAATTACGCGTCGAACATCATTCATTATTTTTAAAAATTCAACAACTTTTTGGTCAATCTGCATTTGTCAAACTCTGCTCAAAAGCAACCCGAGTTATATATCATGAAAATGATTTTGAAGAATAAACATCTGATTACTGTATAAAAAAAATCGTTCAAAATTATTAGTTTTATCATCGAAAACTAAATAAATGAAAAAAACTACACCGGTTGTGAATATTTTGTATCTTTTTTTAAAAAAAATCAGAACAAAAAATATTCTCTTAAAGGCTTGCGTTTAAATCATAAAATGATTGCAAAAAAATCTCTCCATAATCCAGATAATTTTTCCAAATTGTTTTTTTTTCAGATTAAGAACTAATTTAAATTGTGACCGCAGATCATAAGTTGATAGACAATTGTTTTCATTCGAGCAAAAAATTTGTCTCGATAATCCGGGTGAAATTTCCCACCAAAACTTTATCAGATTTTTATTTCGCGGCAATTACTCAAACAATTGGTGTCATATTATCCAAGAATAGTCAAAACCATTGCTGAAAAATATGGTACTGGCACAGTACTAAATTATGTATGAGTTTTACTTAACATATAAATAACAAGAGTTCTTGTACGGTCAAAACGTTAAGTATTCCGCTAACTTTTGTAATATGTCTGATGTTTTTTAGTTTTTAAAATAAGTTATGGTTACAAAAGTATAGTAGAAATAAGTGACTTTTAAATAAAAAGTCTCGAATTGTGCACTTTTTTGCAAATTGTGTGAGTTTCTTTGAAACTTGACTCAAACGGATAAGGTCTCGGTAACATGTTCTAAGTTTAGACTGCATAATGTTGATATTTCTCAGATGGTATCAAAATATTCGTCAAAAATTGTTAGATAAACTCAAACTTCTCTGATAGAAAAAACTGTGCACGGAAAAACGCAATTGTTTTTTTTTGTAAAAAATTCACAACTCTCACTTCTAACAATTGAAATTTGATAATTATAATTATTGTTCCGACATTCCAAAAATGGAATAGTTGTGTTCGAATGGTTTTTTCTCCAAAAAATTTTCAAACGACAATTTTTCTGGAAGTTTTTAAAAATTATTTGATTATGTTGAAAAGGAGCGGATCATTAAAAAATTTTCTTTGAAATTTTTTTTAGGTTAATCGAATTGGTTTTTTGAGCTATCTCAACATTTTTTGAAAAAAAAACAACCATAAAAACATAATTTTAAGGCGCGCGTTCCCCTGAAAAAATTAAGATACATTGGCGCCAAAGGCACCTCTAGAAAAAAAAATCAGGTGCGGTCAGGGGCGGTCAGCGAAAATCCTGAAGTACTACCAAAGAGGGGCAATCGACGCCCTTCTTTGGTATCAGCCCCGTGTTACCTTGCGGAGATAACACGGGGTCAATTTCTTAAAAACGAGGTCGTCTACCACCCTCAATATCAACGCTACTGATTTTGTGCAATTTGAGATAGTTTGGTTATGTAACATTCTGCTTAAACGCAATCGGGGGAAAAATATGGCTCAAATTTAGAAAAACTAACCCAGTTACAGTAAATGAGAAATTTATCCCTTTGAAATTAACATTGCGTGTTGTAGAAGATTAACCCCGAAAACTCAACATTTGAGTTTTTTTGAAAGCTCGATTTCTTTTCGAAAAGTTACTTCATATATCTCGAAGGATTGTCAAACCATGCAAGTTTTTGTCTAGTCGAATCACTAAAACAATGAATGCAGCAACGGTGATTCAATAAAATAGGTGACCTTTCGCATTTTTTGTTCGTAATTTTAGAAGAAATTATTTTATGACAAAAAAGATTAGGTTTTCAGGCATGCAGTATGTTTGATACGATTTAGATAAAATTATAACCGTTTGAGATGGTTTAAGACTGGAGGCAATTTTTGAAAGTCAATGCACCAAAAATTGATGTAGAAGTTCATTATAAAAAATCAAACATGGACATAGTCTTTTGATATCATGTACTCAATTTGGCATCATAGCTAGAAGAAGAAGGTTTATAAAAGATTTTAAACTGAAAAGAGTACCTAGTCTTGTTCTTGACAGCTTTCGCTTGGTGCTTTCCGATCATCTTCATCACCCACGGCAACTCAAGAGACAAATCTACGTAATGACACATGTTTCTAACACAACTCTCCACTACTTGGCTGCCATACCACGTGTATGGACCAGCGAAGTTCAGCAGACATCTGGTTTTGGAAGTTATTCTGTCCAGTTCCTCGGTGTCGAATGCATTGGCGTAGAGAATACTAACTCGGCCCATGAAACTATTGATCGCTATCATTTCATTGCGCAGGTGTTTTAACTTTTCCTTGCTTCGACCTGCAGGTTTTTCCCAGTTTTCCATCTTTATTTTGGAGTTAGCAATTTAATCATTCTAACTAGCATTTTTGAAGAATCCAAGTTTAACGAGCATTTTTATCAGCTTTTCTTTTAAGAGAACTGAAAGGGTCTGAATTTTAATCTGGAAACTTACCAAAATAAACGAAAATTAGAATTCATTTGGGAAATGAAAACAAAAAATTAACATCAGAAAATAATCAGAAGTCGAACAGTTTTGCAAGCTTAACCTTCAAGTCTGAATGCGAGATGAACAATGTTTGTATCCTAAAGAGGAAAACTGGGAAAGAGCAGACCTGCAATAGCAATGTGTAAATTACTGACTAGTGCTTTGTCAGGGTGGTCGGCCAAGTAGAGACAAGCTAGTCTCCCCGTGAACCCTGAGGCTCCAAACAACACCAAGTCTATATCCTTCGTGAACACTTTCTGCTGCGGGTAAGTTACCAGCTTCTGGTGACTTGCAGTTCTAGAGTTTAGTGACGGCTGTGTTGGAATATGGTTTCCGTCTTTTCCAATTGTTCCATAAGATGATCGTCTCGCAGCCTGACTGGTTGATTGTTTAGTAACTTCAGCTGCTGATTTTTCCTCTTTTTTCTGCGTGGTCGGCGCCGGAGTTGCTTTAGTGGAGTCTTTTTTGGTACTGACGCTTTGGTCAGTCTGTGGATGGGCTGGTGCTGCAGGAGGATCCGACACAGGTTTTGGTTCTGGTTCGTACAGTGGTTCCTAGATCTCTTTTTTACTTTGTTTGAAAAATATTTCAGACTTATTTTTTTACAAAAAACCCAATTAACAAAATTGAACATTTTTGTATACGAAAGATGTATAAACAACTTTTTATTCGACCTGATATGACCAGCAGGGGCGGATCTAAATTTTTCGCGATGAGGTGGATTTTCAAAACAAATCGAAAATTTTGATGAACTTTCTTTAGGTCGATCAAACTGATTTTTTGAGCTCTTTTAAGAAAGACTCAATAAAGACATTATTTTGGCGAATTTCCTGCGCCACAGGCAAATGAAAGAAAAACATGCCAAAAATTCAGTTTTGGGACAAATTTTGGAAAGTTTTGACCAAACATTTTTTTCGCGCAAGCTCCCCTTCAAAATGGCTATTATTTTATAATAATTAGGCCGAGTATAATTTTAATGTCGGCCGGCCGAAAATGGATCTGATAAAACAGTACCAATGGGGTACCCTTTGGGTAGTGAGGGGGTCGGAACGTGATACATTCTGCGAGTGGTAACGTATCAACAAGAGCATATAGTTTAATGTTTGGGAAGGATTTAGTTTGCTGCTTACACTTTAATAGAACAAAATCTATCGCGCGTTCATTATCTCAATTTGAATTATAGTCTTCAAAGTAGTTCCCAATTGAAACCTTGTGACTTTTTTATGGAAATTGATCACAGATGACATATCTTTTTACAACTGAGCTCCATACAACAATATCATTCAGTTGAAATCCATTTGAGGTGCAGGATGTTAACTTGGTTCTGAGTTCAAAATTTCAACCAATCAGCAGGAGAATTTTACACGCAGCGTAAGCAAAATAAATAGGATTGAACGTTAGGGCGGAGGATTTATTTGGGTGCGGGATGCTACCTTAATTCCGAATCTCTAAAGAAAAGAGAACTGGGTCTGAAAAATTGCTCTCCAAAAAAATGTTGTTCGCAGAGATATGTTTTTTTTCCAGACCAAGTGAGGTTGATAGTAAAGTTACTCCAAAAGGACAATAAAATATTTCTATAAAGATAAATATATCGAGTCAATTATGAAAAAATCTATTCATAGTGCGATCCATTTTCACAAACGTTTAGAGGTTTAAAAGTTTCAAATTGAATACTTGCTAGACAATAGACGGCAGTGGAAACCTTCAGGGCTTGCCCTGAAATACGAATACGAACAGTTTTGTGAAAACATTTCTGCTTGACAAATACAAAATAGTCAGAATGATTGGAACAGTTTGCTCTTTTTGCCTAGCAGGATGCCAGGCCGAACAATTCAACAGTGAACATGTTCCAAATAACAGAAAGACAACTTTTGATTCAAATTTTGTAATATTATTGGAAAAAATTGTATGAAAATAAATGTACGCGTGGAAAAAAATGTTTCGGAAAAAATATTATATACAAAAACTGAAAAGTCTGCCGAGTAAAAAAGAGTGCATTCCTTCTTGTCATTATCATCAGGAGCAGCAACATCTTCCTCTTTCTCTTCGTCAAGTGTCAACGGAGGCGCTACCTGGGATCTTTTCCAGTTTCCCATCTCTTTCGAGTAAAACTACAGTGCTACATTGTTCAAAATGTAACACTTTCCTTTTTCCCTTAATATTGTTCAACCAAAGCCCCCTTCCAACTTCCACCTTTTTAATTTTCTGTCTTTGTAGTTTTCTGTCTTTGTAGTCTTTATTTAACGTGTTTTTATGGCTACACGCGTGACGTTATGATGTAAAGGTATGACGAACAATTCTGTTCACAGTTGTTAGTTTGTTAGTTTGTCAAAGTAAAGTTTCAAAATTGATATTCAAAGGTGGGGTGGGGGAGGGGGTGAAAAAAGAGCCAAAGTTGCCCATACGGTAAATTGCAACGGTATGTAAGAACTGCTGTAGAAGGGAGTGCTGTTAAAAGTAGATAGTCATAAACAGTAGCGGATGCCCCCCTTCAAGGATTCTACCCCAAAAGATGTCCATTTTTGGTTGACTAACCTTCAAATTTTTGTAAAAGCGCCTTTGGCGCCAATCTATTAAATTTAGAGGGGGGAGCGCGTGCCAAAATAACGCAATTTTTTAATATAAATTTTCCAAAAAGTGCATAAAAACGCCTTTTTTGGCCTGTTTTTTCAAAAATTTTCCTGCGGCGCAGAAAATTTTGTCAACTATAGTTTTTGAATTGTTTTTTGAAAACTCAACTCCCCCCCATACCCCCCCCCCCCCCCCCCCCCCCCTCGAGAACTTCCTAGATCTGCGTCTGGTCTTGAAGTAGACAGAGTCGTGAGCAATCAAAATCGAGAAAAAACATTCGTACGTTTCTTTTCTTATCTCGCTTCTTATTGGTTCACGACTTGATCTTCTTAATGACGGTCCGTACCCAACGGAAGCTGTTTTTCTAGATAGAAATTTTATATAAATTATCTAGCCTAGTTTTCTCGTATTTTCCGTGCAGATGTGATCTATTTCTTTTCTGGCTTAGAATTAAACAGTTTCTGGAAAGAAATAACCATAGATCAGTTTAATGCTCAACAGCAACAAGATAAACATGCTTCGAGTATACACAAAAACAGGAGCATTACAATACAATTTTATGCTTGTTATAACAATTTTATAATGCTAAAACTAGTTACCTGCATCAGGGCCTGTAGCCTAGTGGATAGAGCAAATCATTTCGAGACCCATCAGAAGACTTTTTTCTAGCTAGAAATAGCATAGATTTAGCTAATTTCTGATCAGAATTAGGATGAGAAATAAAGAATTTAAAGAAAATCCATGCTTTATTTAAACATTTCAAAAAGATTTTCTGATCAGATATTAGATTAGATACAAAGTATTTCAGGTCAGAAACAAAAAACTTTCTCGGTACGGGTGTCTACTTTTTGTTACGTAACACTGTAGAAGTTAGCTTGGCTCCCCTTTCTACCTTTCAGTTTCAATTATGAAAAACTGCTTAAATGATGTCGGCTTTTTTCCAGTTTTCCCCCTTTCAAATTCAATTTTAAAAGTTTATTTAACCTTGTCATAATGCGTGGTGAACAAATCGACAACAAATCGACGCTGTAAAATATGAAGAACAAATCTGTTTACAGCTGACGATTTTTTCACCACGCCAATTTTCATTGCATTATGACAACGTTAAATAAGCTTTTCAAATTTTATTTGAAGGGGGGTGAACTGGAAAAGAGCCAAACAATCGAATAATGTGAACAAACGTTACATTTGTAAATTTTTGCAGGTGGGGGGGGGGGAAGGAAAAAGAGCCCAGTTTTATTTCGTAATTTTACGAGGGGGGTGGGAAACTGGAAAATAGCCTTTTTATTATACTTGACAATGTCAAAAGGCATTTTATAGTGACTTTGAAATCAGCTTTTAAGAGAAAACTCGAAGGGATGGGAAACTGGAGAAGAAGAGCTGCCTGTTCTTGAATGGAGCGCCGGATGTCCTCCGGCTCCTCGAGAGGTTCCGTCTCAGGAACAACTGGAGATGTGAACTCCTCTGGAATCTCAATTGCGATGTCGTAGTCGTGCTCCGAACTCTCCTTTTCCGTTTCTTTTTCCTTTTCGCCTTGCGTATCTTTTTCCCTGTGTTTTTTATCCTTTTTCTCTGAGTGTTATGTTACCTCTATTGGTGTTTACGCAGATATAATGTCAGCATTGTAAACGGAATACCAACAAAAAACATCACCACTGTGGTGTAAATTTCAGCATTTGTAGCTCCCCCTCCTTGAACTTTATATAATGAAACTAGTGGTTTTACAAGGATATTTATTAACACCAAATATTTTTGTTATGGAATTAGTCTGCATGTCAGTTCTTAAAACAATCGGACAAGGTGAACAAAAAAATTTATTTATAAAAATTTCCAGGTGGGGGAAAAGGAAAAAGAGCCTACGTTTTGGCTCTTTTATAGGCTTTATTATGATTTGGAATTAAATTATTTTGATTCTTTTTCTCGCTCTTTTACCGTCCTTTCTCCCAACCTCGCATAATCATCAGTTGTCTCCACTAACGAGTGGTTTTCCCAGGTTTGGTAAGAAAATCTATTTTTTTGTTATTACCCAATTAGCCCGCATGTTCATATCAGAATGGCAAATTAAGAGCAAAAGTATTGACAAGTAAGAATCGCAAGTAGGGGGAGGGGGGAAGAAAAACAGGCTCTTTTCCAGTCCCCCCCCCCCACCTTTCAAAATCAATTTTGAAAAGCTTATTTAGCGTTGTCATAATGCAATGAAATTTGGCGTGGTGAACAAATTGACAATTCTGAACAGATTTGTTCTTCATACTTAACAGCGTAACATCACGCATTTAGCCGTAATAGCACGTAAAACAAACATAAAACTCGGTATTTTGAAAGGGGGAACTGGAAAAGAGCCGAAAAACAGCCCATGAAATAAAGTATTGAACAATTTTTGATTTAAGTTGAAAGCGGACGAAAAGCCGATGTCTGTAGTAGAAAAAAATTATGTTTCGTTTATTAACGCTTTAGAGGTAGCATTCTCTGCAATGATAACGAAGTAGCTGCTCTTTCCCTTTATAGCTCCACAGCCTATTATTACATTTACAAAAACCAAATTATAGTCTCAACACAAGGCGATTTTGCGGTTTTTGTATGATTGAGGGTGCGGGGGTTGGGGGGCTCTTTTCCCTTCCCCTCACATTTGAACTTAATGTTTGAAAAACTATTTTAGCCTTGGCATATTACAATGAAATTTTCCTTGATGAACAAACCAATAATTGTGAACAGATTTAGTCTTCGTACTCTACATCGTATTATCACGCATTTAGCCGTTATAGCACGTGAAACAACTATGAAAAAGGAAACTTTAAAATGTGAGGGGTGTTACAAAGAGCCGAGGTGGGCTATAATTTCTGAGCGGGCTTTAAAGAGAAAGAGCCTTGCATTGCATCCCTTTTTTGTCCTTTTTTGATTTTTTATCCTTCTTTTTCTTCCCATATTCCGATTCCTCTCCCGAATCCTTCCGATCCCGCTTGGACTTCTTCGACTTGGATTTCGATATCGTGGTCGCTTTCTCGTCCATATCGGAGTGTTCGATCAAATAACGATAAATGTATAGTGGTCTGTCTCTGGCTAAGTACAATTGTTTTAAGTTTGACACACGTGTTTTATTACTTTAGCCTCGCACGTGCCAGCTTTTTTTTTCACTTGAGCATATCATTTTGCCTCCCCTCCTCTCATAAGCATCAAATTTTTAGTGTAACGAGGAGCTTCACGAGGAGCTGCATGCCAAATATGGGTTCTTTTTCCTTTTCCTCCCCACCTTGAACGAGCATCAATTTTATGGTGTAATGAAAGGTTTTGCCAGGTTATCTATGGGTTGCAAAAATGTTTGTCGTGGCCTAGATAGTCCAGGTGCCAATTTTCATAACAATGATACAGTGTGAAAAAAACTTAATTGTAAAAATTCGCAGGTGGGGAAGAAAAAATAAGAAGCCCAAAAAGGAATGACATGACTGTACAAGAGCCAAAAATACTATTTTAACAAACTAGCGATCATTTTTGCTCCGCATTTTAATTTTTATAACAATCAAACAACCCGGGTTGACCTCCATACACCGAAAATGCTTATCATACAATTCCATACAACAAAAATCATTATCATACAAATCCAAACATCGGCTCTTTTTCCTTTTCCCCCCCACCTGCAAATTTTTCAATTTGAAATTACTGTTCACTTTGTCCGATTGTCATGAAAATTGACATGCAGACTGATTAGGCCATAATCAACATATTTGGTCGTCATAATTAACCTTGTAAAACCACTCGTTAGACCATAAAATTCATGTTTGTGTGAGGTGGGGGGGGGAAAAGGAAAAAGAGCCCAAACATCAAGTGTATGGAGAAAATGCTTGTCATACAATTTTCATTCATTTTCGAAAAACAATAGAAAAAAAATTAAACCATTTCTGCGGTTTTTTGAGAACAGTTGAACAAAGGTGACAAAAAAAACTGATTTAAAAAATTTTTTTGAAAAAAATGCTTTCCATTCAATTTCCATATATGGAAATTGTATGACTGGCATTTTTTGATGCTTATTTTAGAGTTTTCATACAAAATAAGCAACCAAAATAAGTTTGGTTGCTTATTTTAAAGTTTTCATACAACTTTCTGTACGTATGGAATTGTATGAAATTGTATGAAAAGAAATTTCTCATTTAAGAGAATTGTATGATAAGCATTTTTGGTCAACCCGGGAATGTGAATAAAAATAAATTGTGAAAAAATGCAGGTGGGGGAGAGGAAAAAAGAGAGAGCCTTATATGTTCACCATGCAAATTTTCATTAAATTATGACAACGTCAAATTAGTTTTTCAGATTGAAATTAAAATAAGCCTCCCCACACTAAGGCTCTCTTTTCTTTCCTCTCCCCCACCTGCAATTTTTCACAAGTAATTTTTGTTCATGTTTGGTTTTTATAAAAATTAAAATGTGGAACCAATGATCGCTAGTTTGTTAAAACAATTGGAAAAGAGCCAATTTTCACAACAATGGGACAAGGTGAACAATTATTTCACCTGTAATGTTTCGCAGGTGGAGGGGGAAGGGAGCCAAAACAGCCATTAATCTTTCGTAGTAATCGAAGGGGGCTCTTTTTCTTTTTCCCACCAGCGAAATAATTTTTAAACAGTAGCTTTACAAATGAATCGAATTATTGAAATGTTACAAAAATCGGCATGTAGACTGATTAGGCTTAAAAACTTTGTGCCCGACTAAAGGTTTTTAAAAAAATTTCAAATATTTCTTTTGATTTTTAGAGGTTTTAAGCGCCTATTTTTTAATGCAATTTCGAATAAGTTATCAGCCATTAATAGTATTACGATTAGATAAATATGTTCATAGATCAAAATGTATTGAACACGCGGGAATTCATGATTTGACACTGCGAATTTTTGATCGTTTTGTTCTAATGCCAGAAATGTGCTTCTCGAGTAAAATTTTTATTTAGTTTTTTGAAAGCGCAGAAAACTTGACTTTTTACTTTTAATAAAATATTTTTCAACTATACAGTTTGTTGTCTGTCGTACTACTAGTAAAATGAGTCATAGTGGTCTTAACTGTAAAAAGTCTGATGTATATCATTTCAAAATTATTCCATACAACTATTGTGGGTTTTGTTAAGTTATTAAAACTGTAAATTCTAATTTCGAGTAGTGTTGAGTGCCGTTGCTTTGTTTCCATGGTTCACACTGTTGAAAAAATAGCGGAATATTTGTACTGGTAGTGGTTTTTTTCAACTCAGTTTTTCAAATAGTCGTTTTCACGGGATTTTTTCATTTTATCTAAAAGGTACTGATGCCCTGCAAAAAATCAACTATTATCATTTAATCTGTGCTCAATGTTCGATAATTCATGTTGAAATTTGCCAATTCGGGCCTTTTGACAAATTTAACCCGCGATTAGTTTTTAAATTTTATGCTGAAAAAGCGGAAGCGGCTATTTAAATTAATCCAGATTGAGTTGAAGCGAGCAATTTGCTCTTACTGATGCAGGAAATTCCTCATGCGTGAAATACCGAATGTGCGATTATTTTTTCAACCATCAAAGTTCAGTACTTTTCAATTCTAGAGAAATAAGAGGTTAATTTTTTCGGACAGTTTAAAGAACGTTGACATTGTTTGATTGATAATTTTCGTCCTCAAAATTGACATGAGAAATAATTGAAAAGTATTTCGAAGAAAACGGAGTATTTATATTTAGGTTTTTTTATTCAGTCACTCATGATTTTGTAAAAGGCGATTTGACAGAATGTTTTCATATCACCTAAAAGATAATTTTGTCCGAAACTCAAACAAATATGTGCACCTGCGATCATTTTTTGAAAAATTATGATGCGATGGTTTGAACTAAATTTGTTAATAATATGTGTTACAGTGCTGATTTAAATTATCCGGACGAAACGAACAAAACTTGAATTTTCAAACGCGTTTTTTTTTCAAATTGGGTTAAGATTAGACAAAAAGTGAAGAGAACAAAAGTTGCTTAGAATTTCACCAGAATTAATATGGTGCCATTTTTTCTCCGAAAGTCTCAACAAAAATTTTACCCCAAAAATGGGTCATTTTGGCTTTTTTCAATTAATCAAGAGTTACGCGGAAACTACTTTGTTAATTGATAAAAAAATTATATCACAGGAAGCCTCTTACGTAGTTCAACAAAGTTTAAGAAGGGTTAAATCTCCAAAAATTTGCGCAAATTGTTCAAAATTTATTTTTAAACAGAGATTCTGGGTTTTATATAGTAAAAATCATATTTATTGACTATCAAGTGAAAATTTTTTCTCTTATACTGGTTTTTGGAGATTTAACCTTTTTAATCTTTGTTGAGCTGCGTAGGAGGCTTCCTGTGATATAATTTTCTTATCAATTAATAAAGTAGTTTCCGCGTAACTCTTGATTAATTGAAAAAAGCCAAAACGACCCATTTTTGGGGTAAAATTTTTGTTGAGACTTTCGGAGAAAAAATGGCACCCTATTAATTCTGGTGAAATTCTAAGCAACTTTTGTTCTCTTCACTTTTTGTCTAATCTGAACCCAATTTGAGAAAAACGCGTTTGAAAATTCAAGTTTTGTTCGATTTGTCCGGATAATTTAAATCAGCACTGTATTACGAAACGCAAAAGCGACGAATTAAATCATTCAAAACTAAACCAAGGAAAGTCAATGAAACATTCAGGGATGTGCTCCGATATTAGAGAGCCTTGTTTGATATTAAAAATCGAAACGTTTTCTTTTATAAGTTTTTTAAGCTGTTAGCATATCTTTTTTGGAGAGGAAATTTATGCTATCAAGGTAACACATAAGAGCTCATTTTGTTACATTTTGATCTTAATCTTTGATTGATACTAAAGTGAGCTGTTTCATTTGAGGAACACCAGAAAAGTTACGACCCTCATTATAATTGATGGCCATATTTTGATTTTCAAAAATAGGGCGACATAATGCCAACTACACATTGGAATTTTATTTTTTTAAAACTGTTAAAAAATGTTTTGTTTTTGTAAACATATAAGGCCTTTTTAAACGCAAAAACAATGAACGAGCTTATCGATAGAAAATTTTTATCTAATTTTAAGACTTTTGTGGGGTATGTGCCTCAAAAAATTCTGCTGCTACATAGAGTAAACTTTATGGGCTGCGAAACTGCTTGTTGAATTTTAAAAATTGAAGCGATTACAAGCCTCTGATAGTCCAAAACATCAATTCACTACCGCCCGAGTTGAGTTGTTTGTTCACTTATGTTTCGACTTTCAAAGTCAAGCACATGACAGTGCTCGACCAAAAAATTATAGTCGAAACAGGGGTTTGGGTCGAGCACAAAATTGAAACATTTCTCGAGCACTGTTGAAATATACCTCGAACACTGTCGAAACATACCTCGAGAACGGTCAAAATAGATCTCGAGCGCGGTCGAAACATACATTGAGCTCGGTCGAAACATATCACGGGTACGGTCGAAACATTACCTCGAGCACGGTTGAAACATGCCACGAGCACGGTCGACCATGGACCCTCAGGGAGTCGACCCCCTGCCCACCCAAAGAGTCCCCCCTTTGGTTCTTTTTAATAAATCTGTTCTTGGCCGACTGACCCTAAAATTTTTCTAAAGGCGCCTCAGGGGCCAATATATACTAACTTTGAGGGGGAACCTAATTTTTTTGTCAAAATTTTTCAAAAAGTGCACAAAAACGGCTTTTTTGACCTGTTTTTTTTTAAATTTCCCTGCATCGGCGCAGATTATTTGGCCAAAACAGCGTCTTTTTAGTGTTTTAGGAGAGTTCGGAAAATCATTTTGGTCGACCGACCTAGAAAAAAAGGTTGTCAAAATTTTTCGAAAATCCGCCCCCCCCCCCCATCGGAAATCCTAGATCCGCCCCTGATTTAAATGTCAGCTCAAATTACAAAACAGAATTCCAAACGATGAAAAAAAATGGCTCAAAAGTAGTTCATCCCTACAAAATATTCAACTTGCAAATAACTTTAACAGTTATATTCTGGTAAAAAATTATCATAAGATGTTACACGAAAAGCATAAATTATATCGTTTAAACGTGAATAACTTTCGAAACATACCAGAATTTGGTCGAGCATGGTCTAAATATATCTTGCTAGGGTCGAGCACGGTGGAGCTCGTTTTTTTCGGTCTAGCAGAGTCGAAACATACCTTCCTTAGGACGAGCACATTTGTTTCGGTCGAGCACGGTCGAAACATAAAGTGAGCTCCTCGACCCGGGGCTGACTCAGCGCTTGTCATAATTTCATTTTTTGAGCGTTGGATCATCGCCCAATTGTTGCTGATTTATCGCTGAAAGTTTTTTAATGAAATGAAAATGAATCAGGGATGACGATCGAGTGAAGTTCAAACTCGGGGTGGCAGTCAAATGGCACGCATACGAACAGAGTATTGTAATGATAACTCGCGGAATCTCAATTGTTTTGTGAACCAAATTCATAGTCATGAACTAAACCCCGGTAGATCAGAAGCGCGACATCTTGATGAAAATTCAAAGGAAAATGTTAGAGTTCAGCTGAACCCGTTGAACGACCAAATAATTGCTTCCTATTTTCAACTTGTTTTTGAAGAGAGATCTTTTGAAAGAGAATCTTATCGAATGGGAGATTTGGGTAAGGGATCTTCTGTCATGCAACTACTACGTTTCAACTGATGAGTTGCTAATTAATGAGTTGCTAATTACTGAGTGTTGCTAATTATAATATTTTTTCGGTTTTAAGCAGTTTCTGGAAAATTAATTCCGACGGATCTTTGGAACAATTTGAATTGGAGAGCTTCGAACACTTGAGACAAAAAGAACTCCTAAATCCGCTTCTCATGTAGGAAAAAACTAAAAGTAGGAAATTTTTATCACGGAATAACTAGTAAGAACACCGAAAACTAGAGCAAAATTGAGGAATGAATGAGTTTGGACTGGCTAGTACGGAATGGCGAATGATTCTAAATGACGTTAAATTCTGGATCACTGGCGTCTTCGATTCTTATCTCGGTGTTTGAAACTGTCATTTCGGGTGCCTGGTCGTTCGGCCGAGTGAAGGTCGCGGGGTTGTTTAGTGAACGATTGGACATTTTATTAGCCGAGTGTCTAAACTGCCTCATTTTGGAGAACTTTTCGATTCGTGACGAGTAGCAGTCGGGACTTCGACAGTTGATCACGCTTTCACGCTCGCGTTGAATCACCTGTGTAAAAAAAACATTACAAAATCAAATATACTCAAAAAATGAATCTTCTTTGAAAGCTCAAAAAGTTTACTTTCGCTAATGCATACACGAACACATTGAATCCTTTTCTTCATGAGATGATTCAAGAGGAAAGGGAGTCCCCCCCCCCCCGGATTTGAGGGATTCGACCCTCTCATCACCCAAAGTGTCCCCTTTTGGTACTATGGATTTTACGACATCCATTTTTAGTCCAACCCCAAAAATCTTTAAGGGCAAATATATAAGAATTTTGACGGGGAGCACGGGCCAAAAAACGCAAACTTTTTTCGAAGAAATTTTGTGGTGCAAATTTTGTTCAAAGAAATAAGGCCTTTTCAGTTTTTTGGAGAGCTCGCAAAATCAATTTGGTCAATTTGAAAAATCAATTTGGTAAAAAGTTCAATCAAATTTCGGAAGTTGGATTTGGTCGGATGTTAAAACGTTTATTCAGAGGATTATAACTACATGAAGCCCAACCAAATTTTAATATATTTTTCAAAACGTCAAAAAAAATTGTTGTTGAATTCATATTGATATCAAAAACAAAATTGCGTTTGATGAGAAAACGAAGCTTGGTTTTGTAGCGAAATGCTTTTAAGTTGCAAACCTTGACGTCTGAGACGTTGTGGGGGTAAGGCGCCGGTCGGCGTGAAATCTCGCGGGGCTGTAGGTTCTTGATTGCCCCCCACTCCTTGAAGAAGGTGGAGATTAGGAGAGCCCAGAAAACGAAGGCCAGAAAAATCACTAGACTGTCCATGTCTAAGAAATTGAGAAAGGAGGGGCTAGAGGGATCGGCTTCTCCTTCTAAGTCGCCTGCAAAAAAAGATCCATAAGAAATCGACAGTTTATGACCAAGAGATTCTGACAATGTTTTTTTTTGTGAAAATTGTTTTTGTTCCGACCATTAAAAATGGAGAGGACTAACTTTGTACTCGGATGTTTTAGTTTTTTTTTTGCTTTTGGTTTCAACGCAAAATCAGGTACCACAAATCAGGCGCCGATCTAGGAACTTCTCGAGGGGGGGGGGGGGCGGATTTTCATAATTTTTTTTTTGGGTCGACCAAATTGATTTTGTGAGCTCTCCCAACCTGTTAGTATTTTATGGTCAGACAGCCGAAAATGGATATCTCTAAATAGTACATAGGGGGGACCCTTCGGGTCAGCAGGGGGTCGAATCCCTGAGGAAGAGGTGTCCGCCCCCCTAAATCCGCTACTGCCACAAATAGTCTACAAAAATTTTGGTCCAATTTGCCTATATTACTATGACTGTCTAATAAACCTAAATTGTATTTTTACGTCAGATCTTTTGATCACTCGAAACAGAAAAAAACTACACTAATTTGGAAAAAAAAATCTTTCTAAACCGTTGTTTTCTAAGGACTAGGGTCAGAACAGTCTGCGTACTTGCACAGTAACAGGCTATACTTGTCAAAACTTGTTTTTGAAAGCCGTAGAAAAATTGCAGCATTTGGGAGACGTTGCTTGTAAAAGAAATGAGAAGCAGGGTTGGATCTAGGTGTTTCGAGAAATTTTTTAAATGGTGGTAATTTCAAGTGCATAGGTTTGGGATGCCTCAGAGAAGCATGATAGAAGGCGCCAAATTCAATTCGTCTGAACTTTTATGATTGTTTGCTGGAAGAAAATCTTTTTAAACGAGTTCGCAGTTTCTTCAGATTTTTGTACTTAAACATGGATTCCATTAAATAAACTTGATCTTCCATAGATGATGAGTCGCTTAGAGGTGTAAGTGACTGTTACAATCTTGAACCTTGAATCAAATATCCTTAGGCTACCTTTTGCAAAATTACAGATGAACTGAAAAGCATAATGAAAAGTGAGAAAAATTTAATTCGTGGCCTCAACTACATCAACTCACAAAATGAGAAAGGTTTTGTTTGTTAAAACTTTTTTCAAGCTCCTTTGAGAAAGGTTTTGTTTGTTAAAACTTTTTTCAAGCTCGTTTCAAGCTCGTGGCCTAAACTACATCAACTCACAAAATGAGAAAGGTTTTGTTTGTTAAAACTTTTTTCAAGCTCCTTTGAGAAAGGTTTTGTTTGTTAAAACTTTTTTCAAGCTCGTTTCAAGCTCGTGGCCTAAACTACATCAACTCACAAAATGAGAAAGGTTTTGTTTGTTAAAACTTTTTTCAAGCTCGGTTGAAACTTTTGATGTTGTTAAAAATTTGGAGCTTTTTTTCAAAAAACATAATCAGATCTTGTGACCGAAAAAACCATAGTTTACCATTAAAATGAAAAAAAGTTAGCACCAATTGTGACGAAGCCTATAAAATACATTCAGTCAAACTTTAGTGATAACTATAGATAAAAAGTTAGACGCAATCAACTTATGTTTTTAGTCTTTGAACAAAAATTGTTCCTGCGAAACACTCGCACCAGTGCAAGATATAAACGATCTTTAACAAGTATTTGTTCCAAATTACCATCTAAATTCTGAGTTTAAGCCCCGGGGTGGCTCACTCATAGAGTAATTTCAGATACGGTACACCGTCTGTTCGTCACGCTATCTAATTTTCAGCCGGATAGATTCGTGCATTTTCTTAGTCTAATACCAGTCTTAATCTTACTCTCATATCTCCTAGTCTCAATAGATCTAGTCTATACTGGTATTTGCGAGATACTGGTATTTGCGAGATGGAACTGTTCTGAAGGAGAACGACTGTTTGCCATATTATATTAATTCTGTTCTGTCGCGGAAACTTTGAAGAGTTTCAGCTATGCGATTTATAGTAAGTGTTAGTTATGGATCATGATTGGTTGGTAAGAAATGTTTTACAGAGATAGTTTTATCATTAATATAATTGGATTTAAATACTAATTTTAAACTGGTTCCAACTCAGTGATTCTTTTGGATGCATCATGATTGATCTTGATAAAAACCTTTATCTCAGTACAATTACAATAAATGAATTGAACACAAGGGTGAAAAATTAAAAAAAAAAGAAAATGATTGTTTTTTTGCAATTGTCTTAGTTTTGGCTCATCCCAAAAAAAGGGTTCAAAACAAGATTAAAAATGACCGACCGCTACGTTTATTTCCAACAATTAGCAAAGTTTTTAAGGGATAATTATAAATTCTCGGTAAGCTTCTTGAACAAATAAATGAGTTTTCATCTTTTTTTTTGTTTCCTTGAAAAACAAATTTTGACTCTTTTTATCTGCTGCAACAGCTGAAAACTTCAGAAAAAAAACAATGACTGAATTCTTATGTCCGCTGCATCTCCCATATATTTCAAAATTTTTTCTAAATACTTTTGATTATCGAGTACTTCCACAAAAATGGGGGCTCACAGCATCCGTGGCCCGTTTCTAAATGTTTTAAAGAGAGATTATAGCCAAACGATAAGAAAATGTTGAAAAAGTTAACGTCAAATCAAAAAAATTAAAATCGAATGCGGGGTTCAACAAGTATCTGTTTTGAGTTTTCTGCCATACCTAAGAATTTATCAACTAATTATCTTGCCCGGTCGTTAATATAATTTTCCATTTAACACTTGTGTTTGAAAAAGCTCCTCACTAAATGAGTTGAATAGCTATCACGAGGATCATTTATGTATAATGATAATACTAAATTGTTTCCAGTATAGGTTCACATTGATCGATATAATTTATATAAATGACCACTTGAAAGAACCCAATCTGGAAGATCGTCATTAGACAAATTCTGCCTAATTTCAGGCGCCTCTGAGCAAAAAAGAACAGGTTTTAATTGGGAATATTGGGATGGTGGTGTGATACTACGTTTTTTGTCACAATACTATAGATCAAAAGTTTTTAAAACTATAGAAGTAAAAAATTATTTCGTTAGAAACTTGAAAAATTAAATGCGAGCTTAATTGCTAATTTCTCACCAATAGTAAAATTTTCCAAGTGAAGTTTGCTCAGCTTGATATCTTCATTCCTTTCATTTGCCGCCTGCAGTTTCTGGTCCATGCTGGTATTTTGATTTTGAGCCACTACAGACAGAGAGTAGCTGCAGTGTCTTCTCAGCTGACCCAGATTGGAAGAGAACTGTGTCACTTTTGGGTCCACCGAGAAAGCGTAGACAGACAAAGTTCGGCCTGAAACAATATATTTAATATCTGTGATGCTCATTGAAACTCTATATGTTCTAAATATATTAGAACATATTAGAGAGCTGATTAGTGCACGTTGCACGATTCGTGCCTTATGCATTTGTTCTAGCACGTCATGAATGTTGCACTACACTTTAATGGTATCATTTGCATGAATCGCGCACCTGGTGTGATCAATCCGAGATCTTTGCTGGTTCCTGCTACTGCGAAACCACTACTGGTCATGACGAGCATTGGTCGCTTGCGTTTCGTATGAAACCTCTGGTATTTTTTTTTCAATTTGTGGAAAAAAGTTATGCAAAAGGGTGAAACACTTTGCAACAAACTGCAAACAAGCTGATGAATGACTCTCAGTAAATTTGTGAGGCAGAAATTTTAGACACTGAAGATTTGAATTTGAAAAAAAAAATTGATCAAAATTTCCTTTTTTTGTGTTTTTTTTTGAAAAATGTTAAACAATAAAACTGAGGTTTTCCGGAGCGCGACCCCTTCAAAACTATTATTGGCCCCAAAGGCGCCATTAGAAAACTTTAAAGGTTGGCCTGCCGAATATGGATGTCATGAAATAATAACGAAGGGCGAGGGGGTGAGGGGGACTTTTTGCTTGGGGGACTTTTTGGTTGGTGAGAGGGTCAAACCTCCAAACACCCCACGCACCTTCCCCCCACCCTTAATCCACCTCTGAAGGGATGGGAGTGTCCACCGTAAATCGTACTCTACCTAGCTTTGCTTAGCACAAAAATTGACATCCTCGGCAAATATGATATTTCAATAAATTGAGAAAATCTGTTTTAAGGGGCTAAAAACTTTTCGAAAACGTTTTATTGACTTTACCTTCATCTGATTTGATTGACTTTGGGTGTTTGCAGAGAGACTGGATCAAAATTAGGAAGTAACACTGGATTGCGTAACTTCCTTGAATCATTGGCGACCACGTCACCGACACAGCCCCGTCGGCATCGCCAGTCCAAGAGAAGTCCACGGGCGCGATATCCGAGTTGTCGAACAAAATGGGAATAGCCTCGTTGCTTGGGATCCAAATATTTTGGCCAAGCTGCCGATTATGTTCCTGTTCGACTCCGAGTTGATCGATCGAAAGAATTGAAGTTGCAGTACACTGCATGATTGATTCAGCATGCAGACTTCTGTTTGGGAGGGGTTGAATAAACAGACTAGGTATAACAATCACGTAAGGTATACTAACGCATACTAACTAGATCATCAAGTTACGATCTAAAACAAATCGCACAGTTTAGTTGCCATAGCGATCGGTGAAAAGTTGGTGTGACTTGCTTAGCATTCGGTATTATTTTTTCAAGGAAGTTTGTAAACCTAATTATTAGCTGATTGCATCTCGGAGTCGAAAAGTCAATCAAAGAAAGAAACAAAAGCTTGAGCAGCTATCAATTTTTGAAAGAATAGTGTCCTCTCGTTCTAAAAAAGCTCTTCCGTGAAATTTCATTACGGTTCGAGTGGTTTTCTCCAGCGAGCCAAAAATCAATTTGGGGAAGACTGAAAATAATTAGAAAATCAGTGACGCGAAAAATCTGGCACAAGAGAAAAGTTTAACAGGAAATTTAAAGGGTACCGCGGAACGGAAAAACAACGGAGTCTTGTCGTCGATAGACATCGTTTATTAGCTTTGCAGATCTCATTTAACACTTTATCAGAGAAAAACTTTCATTGAAAACGCAATAAATTATTCAAACATTCGCTTTTTATTAGCTGGGGTGAATTTTTGATGGCAAATTTATGACTGAGTAGATTTTCACCAAGTTGAGTTGCATGTCTTCACGGTATGCGTTTGATTATGGAGGTCAAAAGTTATTTATTATGACGAGAAGCGAAAAGTGGTCGCGTAAGTGAGAGTATTAAATTCCACTGGGATCATTGTCACCATCAGAAAAAAAGGTAACTGAAAAAAATGGAAGTGGTTATTTTTTTAAGTGATTTGTTTATTTGTTTACTTTTTGTTTGGTGGGGTAAACCTTTCGTAATTCACATTACCGATATCAACCTATGAATTTTAATTGTTTCAGAAAAACTTCAATACGAAAAACAAATGAATGCATAATATTAGCTCAAGTTAGGTGAGATACTGGACTAAAAAATAGCAACGATGTCTTTGCTGTTGTTTTTAGCCCTGAAGGGCCGCGTTTGGCATGCTCAAACCGCCGAGTCTATTGGGTTTAAAGTAGAGGTGTTCTTGGAAGGAGTAATGCAGTGTGTGTAAAAACAGTTAATGAAGTCAGAGGCTTGGGTCTACTATGTTTAGGTGGGCTATTTCGGACCTTATTTAGGAACGTGCTCTTCTAGTGCAGTGGGGAAGAGAAGGGAGATATCGGAGGGTTTCTTTTAATGATTCACACTTTGACAATGTTGGTGAAGAAAATACTGAAATCCTATCTAGCCAACAATTGAAGCTTCACAGCAGCGAACCTTTGAGTGTGCGTTTCGTAAAAACATCCACGTCCTGTCACCAGGAGCAGACCTTAAAATTTCTCCAAAAGGGGCTGTTTTTCAAAAAGAAACTCAAAAATTATCTTTCTTCAATTACTTTTTGACAAATTGAGATTAATGACACCGATTACAGACACAAAAATTGTTTTTTTTTTGATAGACAACAGCTTTAAAATTTTATAAACAGAATTCGCAAGTCTTTTTTAAACCTTTCTTGGGAGGAAAAAGTATACTATTGACGATAAATTGTACTTGTTACACAGCACGGAAAATTTTTTGGTTCTTTTGTTAATTATTTAAATTAAATATCCGGACAAAACGATTGAAAGTTGAAATCAATCTAAAACGCATTTTTTCAATTTAGATTCATTTAAGATGTAAAATGACTTAAGGAGACAAAATTTACTTAGAGTTGCCGCAAAAAAATGGTTCATTTTTTTGCAGTATTCTGGCTTAAGTCTTACCCCAAAATGACCATGTTTGAGTTTCTTTAGCCTATCGAAAGTAACTTTTGGTTCAATTGCTGACAAAAAGTATCAACCTGCGCCTTTTATTCATTCCAACTAAAATTAGGAAGAGTATAAACTTCTAATTTTTGTATAATTAAAATTAGTTTCGTTTGATAGCCAAATAGTTTCAGTGTTACTATTAACAAAGCAATTTTCAGTTTTAAGAGCAGCTTTTAGACGTTTTGCCTAACTTTTGGAGAATAATCATTATTTATTTTTGGTTAGGTTATGTAAGACCCTCACTATGTATTACGTTCATATATTTTTGTCAGCCATTGAACCAAAATTTTGGCGCATTTTTGATTAACTACTTAACTACAAATAGCCAAAAATGGTCTTTTTGGGGTCAAACTTTGGGCTCGAACTTAGCAAAACAAACTGCACCATATTAGCTCTTCTAAAATTGTAAGCAAATTTTGTCTTCAACAGTTTTCGCTTAATGCCATGCCATTCTAGTTTGAGGAAAACGCGTTTCAACTTTTAAGTGTTTTTTTTTTGTTTTGACCGGATAATTTATATCAGCACTGTGGTAATAAAGGTAAAGTCCAGGTGAAGTCATTCTCATAAACGAAATGCATCCATTGAGAGAGAGAGAGAGAGCTATTAGACTAAATTTAACTGTTTTCAGGCGTCTCAGTTAATTCTGTTCTGTCTATTTGGGGAGGCAGGCGCGGATCTAGGAATTTCTCGAGGGAGGGCCGATTTTCAAAAAACATTTGAAAACTATGTCGAAATTTTTTTTAGGCCATTCAAATTGATTTTGTTAGCTCTCCCAAACCACTATAAAGACCCTATAAAGACCCTAATTTGATAAATAAACAGACCAAAAAAAGGCGTTTTTAGGCACTTTTTGGAAATGTTCGACCAAAAAATCGCGTGTTTTCGGCGCGTGAATCCCCCTCAAAATTAATATAGATTGGCGCCAAAGGCGCCTTTAGAAAATTTTAAGGTCTGTCAGCCAAAAATGGATATCTAAAAAAAGTACAAAGGGGGGACCCTTTGAGTCGGCAGGGGGTCGAATCCCTGAAAAAACTCAATCACTATTTTGGAAACAGAACTTTTTTGCTAAGACTCGTAAATATACCTTCCGTGTTATTTCAAGTTTTTTCTGCAATTTTACACAATCTGATTAGAATTGTTCCGAAATAAATAAAAAACGATCTCAATTTTCCGCCGCTTGATTGTCTGAACGCTGAAAAAACGGCAAATATTGGCAATTCTTGTTACTCACGTCAAATATTTTCTTTTTGACAATATTCATTGTATAAATTAGGCGCTGAAGGCGGTTTTTTTTCTGATTTTGCCTCGATTAAATTGCAATTAAGCGGAGAAACAATTTGACTCTGAAAGTTACATGTGTAAATAAATTGATTTTATGCCTGATAATGAAAACAGACGCCCAAACCTCTGAAATTGCTGTCAAATTGGTATAAAAACAACCAATTGCCTCTGCGTTTTTGTATAATGGTAGAAAATTCAATCCGATAAAACTTAAAAAATTGCTTTCCTTTTTTTTGAGAACAGGAAAAAGTGTCCATTATTTTTCAGTTTGCAGTAAAGTTTTTGGCGGGATGTTTCCAAAGTTTTTAGCCGTGATGAAAAGAGCATGAGAATCAAGGAAAAATTTAATTGAAAAGGGAATTAACAAAAACTGATAAAACTGACAGTTGAAAAAATTGACAGAATAATTGACAGTTGAAAAACAGCAATGAATATGAAATAATGAAATTTTGTAACCATTTTTTTCTGTTTACTAGGGATATCGACCCATTAAATCAGTAATACACTATTTCGCAACTACTTACTACTTACTTTTGTGAACTGAATGTCAATTACCAGCTTTTAGTAATGATTTACTCGTTTAAGTTATTGGCTAATGCGTAGCTTGGTTTTTTCAATGGCGAAAGCAAGCGCCAAGCAGACCATATTTGCACTATAAATGGAAACTATTTGATTTAAAACCAATTCTGAAAAATTCGGCCTGAAAAAAATTAGAGGATGAAAACAATCTGAAAGGGAAGCGAAAATTGCTTTCAAAGGGAACATTAAAAAGATGAATTGCGTCAACGCCTCAGTAGTTTTCCAAAACGTGTTTCATTCAGTGCAATTATGTTTCTCACAGCACAGAAAAGCCGTTGAAAAATGAACAATAGCGACAAATCAAAAACAATAAGAATTGTCTGACTTAGTTTCAGTTTTGATGCTTTTTTTCAGCTAGCGGTGAAATATCACTCTAAATTTGTCATAATAAAGAATACTTTATGGATAAGAATAAATTGTTCTTAAAATAGAAACTATTTGACGAAATTTTGAACTAAATTCGAACGTTGAGTGTTGAATAAAAATGATCTCAGTGAAAACGCCTCCTAAGAAACCAAAAGTGTTCAGAGAATTTTAAAATTTGCTTGTCCTCGATGGGACGGTAATTGAAAAACCTAAAATTTTGCGTTGTCCTTTTTCTACTCGTAACAATTGATTGCTCAACACACTCATAGACCCTCGAAACTGATAGCATGTGTTTACCACAGTTCTTAAAAACAACACATTTGTACGTATATCAAAATAAACAAAAAAACTAGCTTTCTAATGGTTTTCAAAATGGCAGTAAAATTGTGTTGTCTTTCTTTGCCATTTAGGTAAATGCAATGTTCGTAAACGTCGATAGAATTTTTTGTACCCACTTTGAATATTTATGCTCGGGGTGGTTTTTTTCTTCAGACAAATTTCGACTTTTTAACTAGCCATTTTGACGGATTTTTTATATCATTCGAAAAGTATTGTTGTCCTGAGTTTAAGTTTGATCAGATATGTCACCTGTAATCAGTTTTTGTAATGTTATGGGGAATTAAAAGTTGCCATTTGGCTAATTTGGGACAATTAACGAGCGATATATTTCGCGCTATTAACACGTAAGTAGAGATTTATTGTTCCGACTTTGGAAGAATACGGCATATTTATGCTTGGTGTAGTTTTTTTTATTCAGTCAATTTTTGCCGATCGAAATAAGTGTTTTCAACAAAAATTTTATTTGCCCCATTGAAGATATCGACATCCTAAGTCAAATTTAAAAAGATATTTTACCTCCGATTGTTTTTTGTAAAGTTCTATGAGTTTGAAAATTGCAAAACTCGCCATGTTATGAGCGCTTTGAAGACTTTATTCATGCTGATAGCGTAACACGAAGTATTTATGCGTGGCCAACTATCCGGCACAACAAATTCGTTCCAAATTGAATTGAGGCTAGCTAATCGGTCGTATTAATAGGTACGACTTCAAATTTCACACTTTGATTTTGTCCAAAATTTATAGGTTTTCATTATTTTTCCCCAAAACTATTCGCTATGAAATCGGGGACAATCGGAACACTCAGGGCTTTGCCCTGATGTACGAGCAGTTTTGTTTGATTTAAGAATTCAATTTTATTTTTGTATCGATCATACATATTTTCTATTAAACCAAGAGGAAAGTGTTTGCCGAATATCAGGAACTGTCTGGCTCATTTTCAGTTGTAATGCTTGTTTCAGATAGAGGTAACAACTCACAACAAGGTATCGTTATGGTTTTTCTAACCAGATTGAAGTTTTGTGGTTTTTTTGCTAGACTTAATACTCACATTGTTCGACAAGATTTTGAACTTTATTCGAGCGTTGACTTATTAACAAAATTGACATCTCAGTAAAATACACTCAAAAGAACAGAAAAGCGTTCAACAGCAGTTGTGCTACATTTATTCTCAAAGGGATGAGAACTGAAAAAAATTCAGTAAATCAATTTTATTGTTTTACTCATAAAAAAGTTTTTTACTTGTAAAAATTGATTGGTACACACAAATAGACCCAAATTTGATAATATTATCTTTGAAACTGATTGGATTTTAGAACAATAGATCTACTTGATTTAAATTTTTGTACAGAGACTGTATTAAATCCCATTTTTTTAAAGCTTTTGTCACTGATGTCATCAACAATTTCGTACCTTTACCAAAACAAACAAAAAATCCAATTTCCGATAGTTTGCCAAATATTTTAAAAATTTTTGCTTTCGCTCATTGCCATTCAATACCTGAAATTCAATGTTTTTTTTCTGATATCAGCATCTCGATTTTAATTTTTTTTGTATCTATTAAGTTTCCATAAAACTTACTGAATAGTTAAAGGTGAGAAACTTTAGCTGAGGGTAATTGAGAAGGACTTTGAAACATATTGATTTCTAAAGATTCTGTTTTGGTTGAGTTAAAACTCAATTTTTTCAACCAGATTTTGAACTTCGTTCGAATGCAAATAGTTACAGAAAAAGACTTCTTACGAAAAAACTGTCAAAATAACCCATTATTATTCAATGAAATTTTAAGCTTCAATCTCTTCAAAGAGAGCTAACTGACAAAACTATGATTGCAATCGATTGTATTCAATTGTTTATCATATTTTCTACTCTTAAACCAGATTTTTTGTTGAATTTTAAGATTTGTGTGACTTAATTTCTGTTTCCACCTTTTTTCCCAGCTAGAGGTGAAAAGTCACCTTCAATTTGTTGTATTATAGAAAATTTTTGAATCAAGCAAAACTTTTTGAAACAAGCAAAATGAATATTTTTGCTTGACCTACAACTCAAATGGGGCGAAATAAGTTTGCAATAAGCTCGAGCTTTAAATAATTTTGAAAATTTTATATCTGAAAAAAAAACAAAAAGAAACAACCTTCACTTGTTCTCACAGGAACGCGCAAAACAGAACTTTGAATGAGTCAATTATATTCAACCTTTGTACCTGTTCTTGGCTGAAAAACACTGAGTTCTTATCAAAACTGAACGCTTATCACAAAGTTAGAAAATGGGGATATAAGGCAATGCACGAAACAAATTTTGTACGTCTGTCAAAATAAACCGAAAATCAGTCTTCTAATGGCTTACCAATTTGATCTTTGGTTGCCCGTTTGTGTGATTGCCCGTCTTGTAAATGCTAGACCAACACTTTTTTATTTCAAGAGTTCAATGGTTTACAATTTGTATTTCAGTTTTGGTCAAAATGTGTGCAAAAAGATATGCACTATTCAAGTTTAGGCTTTAAATATTGGTTTGAACTTGCGGCTTTCTAGCACCTCAAAAAACTTTACTTCGGAGTTTAAATTTTATCAAGTTTTAGGAATGCAGAATGTATACTTCATGAGAAGATCGAGAAGTCTCAGTCGGATAGAGACAGACGGTAGAATGTTAACCGCAATGTATTCAAACAGGCTATAGATATGCGGTCAGTAGGCTGTGTATTAAGACAGAAAAAGGTTTCCCAAGAAACTCAAATAGGTTTTAAGATAGTTTAAGATAGTTTATAGGCTTCGTCGTGAATAAAAAATTGAGATGGTAAACTTTAGATGGCAAGCTGCAGATAATAAGTTTTAATTGGTAATTTTGAATTGCCTCCAATTCCCAATTACTAAGGCCCTCATGTATCAAGATAAGGCTATCGGTTCAATTTTTAATTAAAATATGGCATAGTATGTAAGAAAAGTCAGTTAAAAAAATCAGTGATGAAGTAATATAATGTAAAGCAATTCAATTTTTTTGTGGCTTATCACAAAACGTGAACTCTTCCGCATTTTTCCCCTTAAAGGTCAAAATTCTGTAAAATTTGATCAATTTTGAGCTATAATTTGTACTATATATGGTTCTAGCGAATAAAATTAAGTTTTTTTTTATCATAAAAATAATTTATATTATACTGAGTGTCTCTCAGCAAGTCAACGTTTTTTTTTCTACTTCAGGCCCTTTAAAAGTATACTTGAGAATTTTAATTTAAAAATAACTTGAAGTTTTCTCAAAAATATCATTTCCCACACAAACAGAAATTTCCCTCATATATCAATGGTCGAAACAAAACTTTGATGTAATTAGGGAACATATGCGAGCACGAATTGCCTCTATCGAATATGGAACGGTTTATTCCGCCGCTGACGCGTCTTATAAAACCGCATAATATCGCTTGCTAACCTTCACAAATTGAACAACTTAGATATACTCAAAACCCCATAATTTTGTTTAAAAAGCATGTATTTTTATTCATTGAAGCTCCGGATTATAATGTTTCAGATGTTACAGGGGCGGATTTAGGGGGGCCCGTGGGGGACGCCCCTCCCCCTCAGGGATTCGACCCCCTGCCGAACCAAAGGGTCCCCCTTTGATACTTTTTAAGAAATCCATTTTTGGCCGACCGAACCTAAAATTTTTCTAAAGGCGCCTTCGTCGCCAATATATACTATATTTGAAGGGGAGCGCGCGCCAAAAAAACGCGATCTTTTTGTCAAAATTTTTTCAAAAAGTGCCCAAAAACGGCTTTTCACTGTTTTTTCAAAAAGTTGCCCTACGGCGCTTAAATTTTTGCCCAAAATTGGGGGAAAACAGTGCTTTAGGAGAGCTCGAAAAATCAATTTGGTCGACCAAAAAAAAGGTCGTCAAAATTTTCGAAAATTTTTTGAAAATCCGCCCCCCCCTTGAGAAAATCCTAGATCCGCCCCTGTATATATATAAATAATTAAAAAAGCTTTCTTCGGCGGCGAGAAGAGGGCAAAAGTAACATCTAAAAGCTCTTAAAAATGAATTTAAGTAAGTTCATCGCATGTTAAAAAGAATCATATTTTAGAATGCTTAAATTCTTGAATTGATTTCCAGATTTGCAATGGGCGAATGTATAGTTTAAAAAGCCAAACTTTTATCTAGTTTCTCTCGACATCGTAGATTGTTTCGAATATGATACATCACTCGGCAGGGGCGGATTTAGCGGGGGGGGCGGTCGCCCCCTTCCTCAGGAACTTGAACCCCTGCCGACCCAAAGGGTCCCCCTTTGTACTATTTTGAGATATCTATTTAGGTGACGGTCCAAAAACTGTTTTTTTTTCAAAAGTTTGACTGCGGTGCAGAAAGTTTGGTCAAAATGGGATCTTTATAGTGATTAGGGATAGCTCGGAAAATCATTTTGGTTGACCAAAAATAGCCCCCCGCCTTCGAGAAAATGCTAGATCCGCCC